GCCGCGGCAAGGCCACGCCCCCAGCCCTTAGGCCACGCCCCCCAGCGAGGTGCTGAGGTGATTCCCGCCCGGGAATTGAGGAAAAAGCCCTTGGTCCGCCGGGAGTGTTTGTACCCGGAGAAAACAGGGCTCAGGTGGATTAAAAACTCAGGCTGGGAGTACATGGAGCTTATGGGCTGCAATATTATGGTTATTACAGTGATTTGACAAGTTTTCCAGCATTGCCAGCGCCATAGTGCTAGGGTGCTGTTGGGACAGCTGCACACGCTGGGCTCTCCCCGGCGCTGGCTCCGCACAGGCGGCTTTTGTTCCCCCGCAGGAAGTGGCAATGCAGGGCGACGAGGAAGCACCAGCCTTGGGATCAAGGCACCCTTTGTGCAAGACCCAGGGAAAGGCAGCAAGTGGCAAAGGGGGTAAAATGGAGGGCGCCTGAGCTACACTCGCTTATCTGAGGTGGGAAGCAGGGCCCAAGAAGAGCACTAACCCTTGCAACAGCTTCAAAAGATTTAACAGCCTGGGTAGGACTTAAAGAACCACCCCCCCCCCTTTTTTTTTTTTTTTTTAAAGAAGAGAAAAAAAAAAAAAAAAAAAAAAAAAGAGGAGCAAAAGGAGAGAAAGGAGGAGCAAAAAACGAGAGCAAAGGAACAAATAAAAAAAGAGAGAAAGGAGCAAAAATTGACAAAAGGAGGAGAAAAAAAAAGAAGGAAAAAATAAAAGAGGGAAAAAAGAGGCAGGGGGGAAGAGGAAAAAGAAAATAAAGCATCTGCTCACCCAGCTTAGATGCAGGCCAGGCAAAGAGGTGAAGGGGGACTGCCAGGCTCCCCTCCACCCCATTGGGCTGGGAACTTGGAAACCTTCTGAGGACGCTCAGCTCCTTCCCCAGCCCCTGGCTGGCCTGGTTCTTGACTGCAGCAAAGACATGAGCCTGGCAAAGTGCTAACTTTATTGTCACAGCTCCCAGCCCCTGCACACATGCCACCAGACACGCCACATGGATACTGGGCATTGGGGAGAGGCAGGATCAGATGAGGGAGCTGTGCTGCAAAGCAAAGGCGCAGCTGGCAGAGCGTTGTCCCACCAGCTGCAAGGTTGCAAAGCAGCCTCAATCCATGCACCTCCCGCCCCTGCCTGCCTGGCACCCTCCCCAGCCCTGCTTCCACAGCAAGAGATCGCACCGCAAGGGCTCCTGCTGTAGAGCCTGGCCCCCGGGCCTCCGCACGCCACACAGGGCTCCCTGCAGGGAGCCTTTGCATTCTGGCAGAGCAGTCCCAGGTGCCGTCATAGCACCTAGGCAGAGATTCCTCTCTCACGTCACAGCCCATCTCACAGGATCTTCACGGCCTGCAGCATGTCCGCAAGAACGTAGGAGCTGTCCCAGGGACGGCCAGGCTGGCGCAGGGCCCCCTCCAACGCCCGAGCAAGTGCCAGGAGCTCCGTGGGCTGCCGGGGCCTCTGGGGGCTGGGCTGGCAGAACAGGATCTCGTTGACCTCCCCATCTATGCGGCGTGCATACAGCAGTGGGAAGATTTCCCTGAGGGTGGCCAGGACAGACTCCTTGAGCTGGGCGTCTCGGCACACCAAGTTCAGCACAAAGACTCCTGCAGCAGGGGTGAGAAGCGTTGGGGACACTCAGTTTCTGCTCACTCTGGCTCTCTCCCAGTTCCAGGCTCCATGGCTCACACGGGCAGACAAACAGACGAGCAAACATTTGCCAAATGCCAGGAATAACCCAACTCGTGCAAGTCTGCTCCCTCTCTCATGGCAGCCCTTGGCTGCACGACAAGTACTGACACTCCACTGGTGTCCTTGGCCTGGCTTCTTGTCCCCGCCACCATCTAGGCTGTAGGTGGCCGTACAATCTGTTTAAGGATGCCACCTACACCTTCTGCTTTCCAGAAGCCTTAAACTCCAGCAATTTCTCCCCCTGCCTGACCCAGCAGCTCCCCAGCTCTACACTGACAGCAGGACACGGGCAACAGCACGACCAAACCTCCCCTCCTACCTTCTGGCTTGAGGATGGTTTTAACCTTCTGCAAGAAGGGCTTTTCCACAAAGGCTGGAGGTGGGCAGCTCATTCCCACCGTGAGGTCTTTGCTGTCCACATCAAACATGACGGCGTCGTATTGGGCCGAGGCTGCAGAAGGAAGAGCAGAGAGTCATCAGCCCTGTGGCACAGGGCTATGCCACGCACCATGCTCACAGTGGGGAAGCACTGCATGAGCTGGTTAATACAACCCCTCCTGTCCTGGCAGGAGATAGCAGACTGTGCAACATCGCCTGAGATCAGGGCTGGCACAGAGGGACGAGGGAGGGAAAGCTAGTGGGGAACAGAGCCCTGGGGACAGCTGGAGGCCTTTGGGAGGGCAGGATGTAGAGCAGAGGATCAAGAAGTCCATCAAGGGAGGACAGACAAGATCTCTACAAGGGTCTTTTGTGTGCCTCCTGCTTCAGGGACCTCTGTCCTGCACATCCCACCCGCCATGCTTAGTGGGAGCCCTTGGGCTGCTTCACGAGGAAGGTACCTTCAGCTGCCAGGTTAGCCACATAGTCCAGGCCATCAGAGACATGCACCTGCATCCGGTTGCCCTGGGAGAAGCCAAACCAGCGCGTGGCCACCTCCAGCATGGAGGGGTCTATCTCCACCACAACCACGTGGGCCTGGGAGAAGTAGTCGTGGAGGAAGAGGGGCAGGCTGCCCCCGCCAAGCCCCACCACCAACACCGAGAGTGGGGCTCCTGCCAAGGGAGAGAACCAGCGTGAACCACCAGAACTGCCTCAAGCCGGCTGCCCCAGGCCGCTTCTGGCAGGGCACATCAGGCTCCCATGGCCAGAAACCCCCTTTCCCTGCAAGCTGGGGCTCACTTTGCCCTTCGCCACCGGTCTCGTTACCTGGGAGGGGGTCAGCGCTCTCCAGCAGGCAGAGCCCAGCCACCATGGCCTTGTGGTGCTCGCAACATAGGTAGCTCTTGTCGATGGCTGAGGGTGGCTCAGTAGGGCAAGGTTTCTTCCTGTCTCTCCTCCGTTTCTTCTGGCCTGAATGAGAAATCAGGTGAAGAGTGAGCAACGCAGCTGCACTATCTCAGGACATGGGCTTCTGCCCCAGTGACACAGATTTAAGAGAGAGAAAAGAGTTCCCAAAGCCACTCTTAGACGAGATGAACACATCCCTGGAGAACTCTTAACTTCCTCCTTGTATCACTCCCAGTCTCTGTCATCCTTGACACCTGCCTCTTCCTCTAGTCCCTTCCATCTCTCTAAAGCCCCACGTACCTGGGAGAGGTGCTGGGGCCAAGAGTCGGGCTTCTGACTGCACCACGTTCCTGTTGCTGAGGAAGATGAGGCGGCGGAAGTAACACTTGTCATCCCCCTTGACATCCTCCACAACGTACTCCCCGCTCAGGGGGCTGGTGTTGCGGTGCTGCACCGTCCGGACCCCGATGTCGCCTCCCACGGACAAGAAAGGCACCTGCAAAGAAAACATGGACTCACGTGAAGAAGAAAAAGCTACAACGAAGCAGAGGTGCCTCGGTAGCAGAGGGATGCACTGGGGTAGCCCCAGGACTCTAGGACTCGCCCAGAGTTTCCCCTCTGGTATGCATTGGGGCACAAAGTGCGAACGTCCAAAGACCTCTTGCAATAAAGCTTTATATCTGGAGAGATGAGGCTGTGCTTGAGGCCAGTCTCCTCCCTGCCGCTGCAGCCAGGCTGCTCCTTGGGAGCACATCTCCCTTGCGGAAGCGGGCGCCGCTGCCGGCGGGTGCTCGTGGGGAAGCCGAGCGAGGGGCCTGTGGCGGAGCTCACCTGCTGCCCGGCAGGGAGGCCCGGCGGCGCCAGCTCCATCACCTTCCCCGACAGCTCAGCCTGGATGCCTGCCATGCCCTCGTAGTGCTGCTCCCTGTGCAGGGCGACGGCGACGAGGCGCCTGAAGCCCGCGCTGGCCGCCAGCTGCCTCCGCCCTTCCTCCGTCCCAAAGAGCCACTCGGTTTCTCTGCCCTGCGGGACTGAGAAGAGGCTGCAGTCAGCCGAGCCCAGGCATGATCCCAGCCCCAGCACAACCGCCTCAGCCTCAGGCACCCCAGGGGAAAGGCGCGAGGCCGTAAGGGCGTCTGCTGAGTGACCTGCGGCAAGCTTTGCACCTAGACCTCAGCTCCATCACCAAGGAGCCAGGAGCTGCCCACTTCGGGGCGGGCTGATCCAGGAGGCCAGAGAGGCCGCAGCACACACTAAGGGGCTGTCCAACAGTCCTCCTTCTCCTCTCCAGGTTCTGCGTGCAACACACTTCCCAACGCAGAGTCAGGATTCAAACACCAACCGGACCCCATGAAGACGGGCTGCTCCCGCTCCCGTGTCAGTGGGGTCAGGGCTGCTGCGGGCACGCAGGGCTGTACTCACTGATGAAGATGGCAAAGTGGTTGTCCCGGGAGAGCTTCATGGAGGGGCTGTCGACCACATGCAGCGTGTACCGAGGGCTCCCGCTCTCACTGCTGCACAGATCCAGGGAAAGCTGCTCCACGCTGGAGGCTTTGCTCAGCTGGCTGCGGAGCAGGGCATAATGCTGCCTGTCCCTCACGGCCTCCAGCAGCCGCTCTGTGCTCTCCACCCGTGTCGGCTTGTCCTGATCCTCGGGGCAAATCTCCAGGATTTGTGCTGCCGAGCCGGGGACTTTCTTAAACTTTGTCATGACATAGACAAAGATAGGCAGGACAAACTGTTGCTTGTCCCCACTGCTGGACACCTGGTGGACACGCACCACCCAGCCCTCCTGGGAAAAGAACTCCACCGCCTTCTTCAGCACGTGGGCCTGAGCCAAGGAGACGCAGAGGTAGCGCCCTCCCACCTGCAGCACCCGGCTGATCTCGGCAAACATCCTGTCCGCTTTGGCGAGGGTGGCCTCCTCCTCGTCAGCAAGGATGGCATCAAGTGTGCCTTTGTCCAAGACCACCTGGAAGAGGGCTTCAGGGAAGTCCATGTGCAGCGCGTCCATCTGCAGGTAGCTCATCCTGGGCCTCTGGCTCGCGCTGCGCTCCTGCATCTGGCGGACGACGGCCTCGCTCACATCGATGTTCACAATGTCCTCGCACAGCCCCGCGTCGTACATCTGCTCGCTGAGCTCCGAGTTCCCGCAGCCCACCACGAGGACCTGGGTGGGGGGCGAGCGCAGCGGTCATGGAGAGGGCACCGAGCCCAAGGCGCTCCGCCAGCCACGGCCCCGCACGCGCTCGCCGGGGGCGAAGAGCGCGTTTTC